TCGATTGGCTCATATAAGATGTGTTCACCAATTGGAGGTGGACTAGTGAGCAATAAAGATATTCTTGTAGACAAAAGCAGAGGGTGGGAGTTGGAATTGAATAACCACCTACACGATTGAGTTCAAAGGAAAGAACAAAATGAAGCTTCGATAGGCCAAGATGAAGAGGTGATGCTTTGATTGATCTGATTGAAGGAAAGGAGATCGAAAGGAACAAGAGTTGAGTTCGATTGGGCTGATTGGATAGTTTTCAGATCAAGCAACTAAGGCAGATAGTGACTCAATCGAAGAAGCCATGATGATGAGGTATTAAACCATTCAAATTGGAACTCAGAGCCATCGAAGAATAAACTTGGGAGCATTCGAAAGAATCAAAGATGTGAAAAGTTGACATGAATACTATCCAGGTTCACTCAAAGTCCAAAAAGGTAGAAAATATCTGAAAATGGCAACTTCTTAAATCTTTTGATTTTTCTTTCAAAGCCATGGTTAATGGCTGATTCATTCCATTTTCGTCCACCACCACACCCCTATAAATACAAGACAAGATTGCCTATCAAAAAAGACACACACAGGAAGCTGCCTCAGAAAAAAAAAACTCTAAAAAATCTCATAAGTTGCCTAAATACCAAACCAACTTTGCAAGCTCCCGGGAAGCCACCCAGGCCCTTACACGAGCAATTTCACGCCTAGGTTTGCAGATCGAAGCATTTCCGGTTGGTAAGAATTTACAAAATCAAAATTGTATTTCCAGACCATTTAAATGCATATTGTTTGCATATTGGCATTGCTAATGTTGTTTGTGTTTATATGAACATATCACATGTAAGATAACATGCAGGAATAAGATCGTTCCATCAAAGGGAATGATCTAAATTTTCCTTTCGAAGCTCATGATCCAGGAAGTTTCAAGCCAAAACAACCTAGATTCAGACTCACGGGGTTTGAATTAGGGGAAGGTTCAAATTAAGGGGAAGAGCCTGGGTTCGACACCCAGTTCCTGCATCTTTATTTTTCTAACATTTGTTTTGCAGATCCAGTGCAATAAAGGCTAGCACGCATACATGCACTTTGTCATCAACACCATTGGATCTATGTATCATTAGATCTAGTGCTCTAAATACGCAGCTTCATGGTAGACTCTCAAGGGTCAGTAGCACAGGATCCCAACGTGGCCTGGGTTTATTTTCATTTTGTCTATACAAAAATCCAATTCACACCCCCTGTTATCTTTACTATCCTGGCCCATTTTATTTTGCTTTCAATTATTTTTTTTATAGCATTATAAAATCAGATAAAAAATCATAAAAAAATATTAGGTTAGTATTTTCTCAACTAAATTAATCTTGTAAATTAATTGATTAATTATTTTAACCCTTTTCTTAATTTAAAAATAAATAGACTTAGGATTTTAAATCAAATTTCTTTCCATGGTCAAAAACAAACAAAACAATTTCATTTTTATTAGGCGTTTTAGACGTATTTTCAACTCGCGCGTTTTCCTTTACTTTCGTACTTTTGCATATTATTGTATCTGCTTACTGGGATGTAATAGACTTAACCAGGACTCTATTTTTACTTATTTTTATTTTTCCCCATTTTTGAACTTGTAAATTCCCCCTCCTAGAAGCCATGTAATAGTTAGGATTTTACATTTCCGCACTTTTAATTTATGCAAATTATTAACTACTTAGATGTATGCTTAATAGGATTGTATAATAAGACTAAAAGCAAACATTAGCAAACCTAACATCAAAGACAAAAATAAATAAATATAACACAATTGCACATGTGCACCTCTAGGTTACCCCACTTTGGTTGCCTTCGGAAAACAGTCACAACTCTCGAAACGTGAGAGATTTTAGTGGCTACCCTCCAGTTTAAAGATCATCAGTCCCTTGATGACCCTCTCGATGTTGCCTCGGTAAAATGATATTAAAACCCTAGGTTAGTTACTAAGGTTTCTTGCCCAGTTGCATTTGTGACTATAAATGTATCTTTGAATGTTCCTCAAACATCCAACGACTAGGGCTACCTACTCACTAATAGTAGGATAGCACTGTCTAAAGGAAAAGAGGAAAAGAATGACCCTTTCGAGTAAAAGTAGATAGCTGTTAGATGCTTGCTCAAAACAATTTTTACACATACACAAAACACTTTCAAAAACATTTTCAAAACGCTTTATCGACACTCTTGAGGACTGATACAAGAGTTATCATAAAGCAAGTTGCCTTACTATTAGCATTTCAAAAATAATTTAAAAAAACACACAAAGCACAAGGTATTTCAAAATGAGCTAAGCATTTAAGAGCCCGTAGAAAACTACGGATGGAAAGGGTGCTAACACCTTCCCTTTCCATAATCTACCCCATTACTCAGAAAACTCTCGAAATGTCTTTTTCTGTTCTTTTCACACTTTCCTTTGTTGGATAAAATAAAAGTCAGTGGCGACTCTTGCTTACTGCAACATTTGTGAACACGAACATAAAACCAGTATAACAGTCGGTTCTGCCACCATATCACAATGAGCATATCATTGAAACAACCGGCTGAACAATCAACTGGTAATGACATCAATGAAGTCGCCATTAGATGTTTTTATCCCATAGGAAGGGAAAGGTAAATATCGAGTAAACCTGAGAAGGGTGAAATCAAGATCGAACGAACAAGAGATAAGGGTAAGGGGGTCTGTTATGCGACGAGAAGGTATTAGCACCCCACACGCCCGTAGTACTCTATGGTATCCACTCTTGCTGACTGTCTTATGGGTGTGTTAAAATTTATATCTAGGCTGTACAGGGAATGCATGGAAGAGAAAAGAGAAAATAGTGTAGGGAAAATAAAATTTGTGCTCGTTCGGGCCTTACCCCAATGCCTACGTATCCCTTTTAAGGAATCTGAGCAGCCGTAGTTCGACTTCAAATGTTTTGTTGGTTTGTATTTTTTAATGAACAATACTAATTTCTCCTTCTGCCACAACTCGACCTTTGGAGACTTACGCGTCAGCACAAAAGTAAATTAACATGTTCTTTTGAAAAATGTTTGAAAGAAAATCTCGAAGGTGCAAAAGATTTTGCATTGGTTGATATTTTTTACCTAAAAAAAGGATTTGAAAATTGTTAGATGTTTTATGCATTTGCTAAGAAAAAGAAAGTTTTTGTTTTAAATGCAAGGATGCAAAGGAAAAGAAAACATCTAAGGGAGACTAACTTAAATCTATCCCTAATGTTATGATACAATGATTGATCCTAAAGCTGAGTTTTCAAGGGAAATCTCTACCCTATGTTGACATGCTTGGTTACAATCCTAATGTCTATCCAAAATCATCATATATAGATGAATCAATAAGTCCTAATAGGAGCATAGCAAGGGTCTATCACTTAAAACTATGTTTATCTCAAATCATCATCTATATATGAATCAAGAGCTCCTAAGGGAACATGCTGAGGTATATCATCTCAAAACATGCACACAAAGATGAAATCAAGAAAGTAAGCCAATAAGCTCAAGATAATACACCTAGAGATATCCTATCTAGGCTAACATACTAACGAAAGTCTAACAAAACTATCTTATGTGGAACATGCAATGAGAGCAAAGTCGTGATCTCAAGTTCTAAATTGAGTGATTCGTCGATCAAAAAGAAATCAAGGAAACAATAAAATCCTTTAAGGAGCATGCACTGAGAGCGGAGTTGTGATCTAAATTTATAAATTGAGTGTTCATCGATCAATAAGAAAGGAAGCAAAGACAAGCACAACACATATAGAAAATAAAGTGAGGAATGTCTTCTACAGGTCTTTAAACATCGACTTCTAGCGCACGCTCTTTATTTTCTGCTTCCTACTTCACATGATTTCTAGAAAGCGGAAAATGCTGAGAGAAAATAAAAAGAAAATATACCAAACGGATATCAATCCGCAAAGCAAAGAAAATAGCAAAGAAACCCAGAGAACTCCGTGAACTGCTAGCACCAACAAAGAAAAGAGTTAGAAATCAAACAATTGGAATAAGTGTCGAAGCGTCATCTATGTGAAAATAAATCACAACCGACATCTCAAGCGTATCCGCGTATCGCATAATAAACCTGTATAAGACCCAATTCTCAACAAGCAAAGGTGAATTACAAATCTCAAATAATCGGATAATCGGGATTTAATTCCTAAAAGAAATCTCCTAAAGTCTAATACTTTTTATCAATGTTTTTATTATCTTTGTCTTTAAAAAAAATGAAAAAAGACAATATAAAAAAATCTAATCAAAATCTAAAATTTAACAACAAAAAAAGATGATTAGTAGGTGGAAATCTGGAATCCATGGGTGTAATAGAAATCTGGGCGCTAGGCCCATGCAGTAATGTCCACAATGTTGTTTTTGTCTGCAAAACAATAGACTATCAACAAAAAGAATAGTGAATGGGCTTTAGAGGGATTCTGGTCCGCCCGGTCTAACACAATCAAGTTTTTATTCTCTAAAAAAAACTAACGCGCCAGGAAGGAGTATGATATGGTCCAACAAACCATTTTTTGTATTTGAATTTCAGGCTATCAAAAAAAGAAGATATTATATGGGCCTAAATTGAGATCCACATATCCAATTTTTGTGTATTTTAGATTAAAAAAATAGATAATAGATTATAAAAAAGAAATTAAAAATAAGAAAAAGAAATATAAAATTGAAAAGGATTAGGGCTGAGAGATTTGGGAGTGACGGTTCAGATTCCCTGATCGAAATCTCCTCACTCTCGTATTCTTCTACTTCTCAAAGTGAAGGGCGCCGCTCTTATCCTCTCTGATCCACCTCCGTTATGATTCGATTTCGGTCACCTTCCTTTATCACGTCTTTAGTCACGCTTCAACGCCTCCGTGCGCTCGCGATTCCGTCTAATTTTGAACTTCTCCGTGCGGTTGTGTTCAATTCTCTCCGTCTTCATCAGTTGCGATTCATTTCAATCAAAACAAGCATCAAACGGCGTATTCGAAGAAGAAAGTAAAAGTATCATGGCTTACCTCTTGGAGATCCGTCCGATGCAACTTCGACAGCGATTACGAAGCAAAAGAAATCAGATAGGCGTATTTTTCTTTTCTCTTAGATTCACCCTTCTTCTGATTCAACTGTTACTTCTATTTTCTAATTTTTGTGTTGGGATTATGGAGGTGAACGAAGTTGGAGATGCTGGTAAAGATGAAGCGGTTGTATATTACTATAACTTTGAAAGATAGTGATGAAGAGAAGAGTTGCGAAGACGATGATTGATGAGTCGTGGAGCTTGAAGATGATTGGGGAATCGATGAAGATTCTAAAGTAAAAGATGAAGATGATGCAGTAGAATCTTGCAGAGGATTGAAATGAAAGTTTCAGAGAGAGAGATAATTTTTCCGTGGTTTTGTGATTCTTCTAGTGCAGTGAAGAATGAGGCTGACGAAGATTCTCAAAAGTGAAGGTTGAAGATAAAGAATACAGAGAATTTCTCAGAGAGAAAGATTGGAGAATTTTATGGTTTTCACTGGCTTCCCCCGAGGAGAGTGAAGACATCCCCTCAAAGGTGAGTTTTTTCGATTATATAATCTCTGTTATTCTAGAAATAGTTAGTTAGGAAACTGTTAGATGAATGAAAATGAGTTAGGGGTTAGAATTCTGTTAGAAAATTGGTTAGCTGTTGAGCTGGAATTTTTGTTAGAACTATGTTTTGATTTTCCATATTTTCCCCTTCTACTTCCCTGACTTTTTGATTTTCTGCTGTAGTGCCTGCTTTCTTTGTTGGAGTACTAAGATATTTCTGATTCAAACATCGAAGCATCCCCCTGCTCAGTAAAATGCTCCTTGTTCTGCAAGTTGTCAAGATAATCCATGGTCTCTAATCCCTCAACCCCAACTTCACTTATGTCTAGTACTGATAAATATGTATGATAAGCAAAGGTGAATGAAAATGGCTTTCCATCACTATTTGTGGAACAAACTTGGTACTTCACTTCCTGGAATGAAAAATGCAAATATTAAGAAAGGAATGTATTCTTTGTTCACTCGAATGAATTGTGTCATCCATGAAATTATCATTCTACAACATTTTTCCTTATCGCTGATCAGAATCTCATACTAATCCAATATTAGTTCTTTTAAAGATACTACTCGGTTGTAGTATTGAACTGGTATATGCCGCTTTATGTGCAGGGTAACTTTTTGTTTAAACAGGGTAGTAATACGCTTTATTGTGTATTTGTACAATTTGGATGTTAATCAATTTTTGTAGATTTGGATACAGATTTCTGGTTTGATATTTAAACATCATGCAGATGGAAATTATGCAGGGCTGAAGTATTTTGGACAGGTTCTGAGAAAGTTTGCAAATTTGGTAATGAAGGATGGGTGGGTTTTAAAGATTGGATTCATGGCACCGAAGAAATTGAAGCATGAATGAGTTTTAGAATTAAGTTTACGCTAGGTATTGATGTAATGATTTATGGTGTAATGGCTTCATGATTATTGTAATAGTAATGTAATAGAATCAAGTGATGTTGAATATATGAATGGTTTCCTATGACCGCGCGCATTAACAAGCAGCTTGTATAAACCTTGATGTTTTACGATATTTTCCTTTTCCGGACCAATATTTCTTTTCTTTTTTCCATGCCGTTCTTCAAATGCAACTCGAATCCATAGCACGTATTAGATAAAAGCTCAAGGGCGACCTTGGTCCAAAAGTTAATTTTTCAAAGTTTACTTTGACCGAAGTCAAAAGATCTTATCCATGTATCTTGAACTTAGACCATGATTATACATCTCAAGATATTATAAGAACTTGTAAGCTAATCAACTAGGTATACCATGATGGAAAAAAATCCTGCTTTGAATGCCTTGAACCTTGAATCATGATGAACCATGAATCACTTTGCATGAATTCTTCAATGAGAAGCCTACTTCGATCTAAATTTACTCGTATTGCAGAAAACAAATGACAATGATAAGAATAATAATTGTCTTGATTAATAAGAAGTCCACAAATTCATATCTTAGGTCATGAATCACGCTTCACAATTAGATTCTCATCCCTTAGCGACCGGTCATCTCAACTCGAAATTAATGTCATGAGGAACATCTTACAGATAGACGATAAAGTTTGAGTTACGGAAGAATTCCCTTGACATGAAACCCTAGTCACACAAATGAAAACCCCTGCACTTACCGAGACTGGATAAAAACAATTATATCGTGAAGAGAAAGAAATCCTGATAACCACCCCTCACGACCTTGATTCCTCAGTTCAAATGCACAGAGAAATATCCAGATGAAATATCTTTGAACCATGATTCAACAAAACCTGAATTGGTTAACTGAAGAGTGGATGAATGCCATGTCATAGTCATTATCCTGATCAAATGATAAGTACACTTATATGAGGAGACGTCTTTATTCAAAGACCATATATGCTAGGTCACACCCTTGAGTTCTTGACAAGAAAGACCTGCAACCTGTTGTTTAGCATAAGATAATAGCCTTGTAGCTTGACGGAGAAGAATTCCAAAATGAGCATGAACCAAAACCCTAATTCCACAATGTTGTACACCAAAAAGAAACAGAATAATCAATATTATTCAATCATATACACCTCAAATCAGTCATAAACCCTAGCTTGATAACTACTAATATTTTTAACCTCAGGTGCTCTTTTAATATGCAAAATGTATGATGTATTAGTGACCTAATAAAAAGATGCGAATGCGACAGCCTAAACCGGATAAGAGAAATTAGGAGGGAAAATTTTGGGGTACAAAAACTGCCCCTATTTAATCTCCTTCAACCTGAAGGTGAGATTGGCGGATGCCTTTCGAACTTTCCAGGTGGAAGAAGATTAAATATTAAAAGAACCCGAAAATTTGCACTCCGAAGCCAGTCAAGTATTATCATATTTTTTGGTTTTCTGTATTTTTGTTTTTGCTTTCTTGGGTTAAAGGGGTTATCAGGGATAAATGTATGTCAGGCCAAGGTTAGACACATAGAAGAGAACTTGGTTATCAAGGAACATCTATCCGGAGTTAGCAGCAAACAGACGACAAGAAAGATATCAAAAATACATGTTCGGGGTTGGTAGTGAACACATATGAGAAGGATATTAAAGATATATGCCCGAGTCGGTAGCAGACATACAGAAGATATCAAAGAAGGAAGAGACCTAACACAGTGGTCTCGACCAAATATATTGGAAATAGAAGAGATTCAACAAAATAACCTCGACCAGATATATCAAGGAAGGAGGAAATCTAACACAACGATTCAACCGAAGATATCGAAGAAGGAAGAAACCTAACACAGCGGACTCGATCGAAGATATCGGAGATGGAAGAGATCTAACAAATTGCTCTCGACCAGATATATCGAGGAAGGATGAAATTTAACACATTGATTTCAACCGAAGATATCGAAGAAGGAAGAGACCTAACACAGCGGACTCGACCGAAGATATCAGAGACAGAAGAGATCTAACAAAGTGATCTCGACCGGATATATCGAGGGAGGATGAAATCTAACACATCAATTTCAACCGAAGATATCGAAGAAGGAAGAGACCTAACTCAGTGGACTCGACCGAAGATATCAGAGATGGAAGAGATCTAACAAAGCAATCTCGACTGGATATATCGAGGGAGGATGAAATCTAACACAACGATTTCAACCGAAGATATCGAAGAAGGAGGAGACCTAACACAACGGACTCGACTGAAGATATTGGAGATGGAAGAGATCTAACAAAGAAATCTCGACCAGATATATCGAGGGAGGATGAAATCTAACACAGTGATTTCAACCGAAGATATCGAAGAAGGAAGAGACCTAACACAACGGACTCGACCGAAGATATCGAAGATGGAAGAGATCTAACAAAGAGATATCGACCGGATATATCGAGGGAGGATGAAATCTAACACAACGATTTCAACCGAAGATATCAATAAAGGAAGAGACCTAACACAGCAGACTCAACCAAAGATATCGGCGATGGAAGAGATCAAACAGCAATCTCGACCGGATATATCGAGGGAGGACGAAATTTAACACAACGATTTCAACCGAAGATATCAAAGAAGGAAGAGACCTAACACAGAAGACTCGGCCAAAGATATCGGAGATGGAAGAGATCTAATAAAGCGATCTCGACCAGATATACCGAGGGAGGATGAAATCTAACACATCAATTTCAACCGAAGATATCAAAGAAGGAAGAGACCTAACACAGTGGAATCGACCAAAGATATCGGAGATAGAAGAGATCTAACAAAGTAATATCGACCGGATATATCGAGGGAGGATGACCTAACACATCGATTTCAACCGAAGATATCGAAGAAGGAAGAGACCTAACACAGCGGACTCGACCGAAGATATCAACGATGGAAGAGATCTAACAGCGATCTCGAACGGATATATCGAGGGAGGATGAAATTTAACACAACAATTTCAACCAAAGATATCGAAGAAGGAAGAGACCTAACACAACAGTCTCGGCCAAAGATATCGGAGATGGAAGAGATCTAACAAAGCGATCTCGACCGGTTATATCGAGGGAGGATGAAATTTAACACAGCAATTTCAATCGAAGATATCAAAGAAGGAAGATACCTAACATAGCGGACTCGACCAAAGATATCGGAGATGGAAGAGATCTAACAAAGCGATCTCGACTGGATATATCGAGGGAGGATGAAATCTAACACAACGATTTCAACCGAAGAAGGAAAAGACCTAACACAATGGACTCGGCCGAAGATATCAGAGATGGAAGAGATCTAACAAAGCAATCTCAACTAGATATATCAGGGAAGGAAGAAATCTAACGGCAGATAGACTCTTGGAGAAAGAACACCGAATGAAGGCGAACTAGGGGTAAAATATATGTGTCTGGCGAAAGTTAAACACATATAAGAAAGAGAACCGACCGAAGTAGACTCTTAATAGAGGATGTCGAAGGTAGACTTTCTGGGGATACCCCGTGACAGATTCCATTATGGAAACTGGACGAGAATTTTAACCAAAGTAAATTCACAGAGAACGCCGCATCAAAGGAAAACTTTACAGGAGAAAGAAACCATTCGAGGGGTACTCTGACAAGGATACCAACCAAAGACAGATTTAAGGGAAAAGAACTTACTGGGGATTCCCATATGTATTGAACCCAAACAGAATGCCGGTCGAAGGCGGAATTGTAATTAGAAAAGAGATACCAACTGTAGGGACTCTAAACAAGGATTACCGACACATGTTGGACTTTAAGAGTTGTAAATACGCAAGAACTACAAAATCCCTCAGACCAAAGGCGGACTGTATTTCTTCAAGAGTGGCAATTATCTGAATTACCACACACCATGTATGGATACTCAAATACTTGAGAAATAAGAAAGGCTATACACCGACTATTACTCGCACTCTGACGGCAAAGCAAACACGGGTAAAATAACCAAAGGCTTGCAAGGGCAAGAGAAAAACACGATTTACTATGGAAATGGAGAATACCAAAGACCCGACTGGTGGTAAATCAAACAGACTCCGCTGGGGAAACAAAATGGAATCACCCTAGGCTCGCTGCGAAGGTAATTCAAATCTAAGCGCATAACAATTCGGTTACCAAAGGTGAACACTATTGGTTTATGCTTATGCATGTTTGAATTTTTTATAGCGTAATGCTCCATACAATGGAAATGCTACACATTTTGGTATATGCAATGTAATGATGCATGTTTAGCAATGCAATGGAGAAAGCACATCAATAATCGGCTGCTGAGAAGACAATGAACTTCCAAACGATTATTCTTGCACATCTAATCTTCTATAGAGAAAGAGCAATCTGAACTTCAATGGAGAATCGAGATTCAGAACCACCTCTAAAGATCGATATCACCGAGGGAGTAACTTCCCAAAGATAAATACTGGAAAAATAAATTGCAGTTTAGAGAAAACCTTGAATTCTGGTCAAACTCCCAACTTCCTGGGGGAACAAATTCTTTATCTTCTATTAGAAAGAGGAGAGCTTCGCTGGGGATGGAAACTTTCTCGCGTAAAATTTCTTGACGAAGATAACTTCTACTGGGGAGTATATAAATTCTTAAATAAAAGGAATTCTACTCAGACCACACTGAGGGATAACACCGTCGGGAGGTAAAATCTTCACTTGGGGAAGAAACAAATATCCTAGGATAGAAACTCCGCTAGGGATATCTCAACAAGATCTTCTATTAACGGGAGTGAAAGAGTTATGACTGCCCCCCCCCCCCCCCCCATGTACACCATGTTGAGGAGACAGGGCACTTACTCCCCTAGGGAAAGAAGAATTTTCTCCACTGGGGAATAGTAGATAAGCTACTCTGGCAGGTTCTCGAAATTCGACTTCGATTGGGGATAAACACTTCCTCTTACAACGGGGG